GCCCAGGCGCGAGGAGGAGGTTGTTACTCATGAAGGGGTACTGGACTGCCCCACCAAGATAGTTGACGAGAAAGCGAAGGCGTTCCAGGACATCTGGAAGTGCGACCGACTCAAGCACGAGCAACACACCGAAGTTCTACAGCGACTACGGGAGCGTGCACGTTCGGAGGCGGCCCCAGAATGGACGCTCGAGGACCTAGACGAGGCCCTCAGAGGAGAGCCCGACAAGGGCAAGGGCATTGACATGCTGGTGTGCTCCGACATCCGCAGGCTGCCGCCCGAAGGCCGCCAGAGGATCGTCGAGTTCTTCAACTCATGCGAGCAGGCGCTCGCATGGCCGTGGCAGCTGCTGTGCGAGATCGTGATGCTCACGCCCAAGCCAGCCAAGGGCGATAGGGCCCTCGCCCTGCTGCCGCAGATGGTGCGCTGCTGGGAGTTGCTCCACAGGCCCGCGGTGAGGCGCTGGGCCAAGCAGCAGGAGAGAGAATGGGACGCCGCCGTGGCGGGCAACAGCTGCCTGCGCGAGGCGATGAGGAGAGTCATCAGCGACGAGTGCTGCGACGCGCTCCAGCTGTTCCACGGCGACCTGCTCGCGGACATCGAGAAGTTCTACGACAGCCTTCAGCTCGACTGCGTGATCGAGGCGGGCCTGAGGATGGACTTCCACCCCCGCTTGCTGACGATGATGCTGCTGCAGCACTCAGCCACGAGGGTGCTGCGGTGGAAAGGTGCCTTCTCGACACCTACCTGGGCTGACAGGTCGCTGCTGGCAGGCTCGAGGCACTCCAACAACCTGGCCAAGACGGTGGTCTACTCCGTCATAGGCAGGATGCTGGAGGACTCACAGGCGCTGCCCAAGCCGCTGCCGAGGGCCTGGTTCGACGACATCAGCATCCGCATCCTGGGCAGCGCAGAGGCAGTCGAGCAGGAGCTGACGGCGGTCACGGTGGGGCTACGCGACGGTCTACGTGCACAGGGACTCTCGCTCGCGGACAAGACCGCCATCTTCAGCACCAACTACCGCACCACCAAGAGAGTACAGCAGGCGCTGCGCAAGGTGAACCTACCCGTCCAGGCCGTCACTGAGGGCCGCGACCTGGGAATTGACCGAGGCGCAAGAGGCACGCTGAAAAGGGACACCCACAGAAAGAGGACGAAGCAAGCCTTCACGCGCTGCGGCCACGTGGGCAAGAAGCTCAAGAGGCTCAGGCTGCGGCGGAGGAGAGGCATCCTGCACCAAGGAGCGGTGGCCTCCTACATGTACGGCGCGACGGTGCACGGCATGGCACCCTGGGCGCGGCAGAAGGCGAGGAGGAGGTATGCACAGGCTCTGAGGAGGCCGTGGCCAGGCCGCTGCCTCACCACGTTCCTGGCGCTGGAGGGCGCCTTCCCCGCGACCACCGCGGTGAAGGCGCAGCTGAAGACGTGGTTCGAGGTCTGGGCCCGCAGCCCCGACATCAGAGCACAGGTCAAGCTTGCCTGGCCGGAGATCTACTTCCAGCTCCGCAAGATCAGGGCAGAGAAGAGGTGGCAGGCGCGCAAGGGGCCGCTGGCCAGCCTGATTCTCCTGCTGTGGGAGGTAGGCTGGGACTCCAGAGGACCAGACGTCTGGATCGACAGGCAAGGGGACTACTGGAGGTTCAACACTGACGAGCAGGGCGGCGACTACACAGAGATCGTGGACGCGCTCCTGCAGGATATCCAAGACCAGCTGTGGGAGACGGCATCGCAGCACCACAACGGCGGAGGGCTACAATTTGGTGCGGACGTGACCGACCTTAAGAAGCACCTCAACCAGCTCGCCAAGAAGGAGCACCACGGCACGTACGGCGCGCTCCTCACGGCAGCGTGTGCAGGCACCTGGACGAGGCGGCGCAAGCACGAGACCTTCGGCGGCGAGGAGGACATGTGCGAGTGCGGCAGACCAGAGGATGATGCACACAGGATCTGGGGCCACTGCGCGGCCCGAGCCGACTGCGAGGCCATCCGCAAGACAGAGGGCTTGGCACGCAGGGCCATCGAGGGAGCCAAGGAGAACCCCGCCTTCTGGCTCAGAGGCATCACGCCCAAGAAGTGGACCACGCCGCCCAAGTGCGACACCCAACACGTCGAGCACACCGTGGGCGCCTGCATCACCAACAACAGGCTCTCCGCCAGCGACGGCGGCGAGATCACGGGCTGCGGCGACGGCTCAGGAGGCGAGTACAGCGCAGACGAGAGATACTGCCGCTGCGGCTGGGGCTGGGTGCTGCTGAAGGAGGGCGACGACGCCGACGAGATCGCGGGCGCCAGATTCGGCCCACTGCCAGGACCGAGGCAAACCAACAACAGGGCGGAGCTCTTCAGCCTGATCAGCTTCATCAACGCCACGGAGGGCAAGGCCAGCTTCTGGACCGACAGCGAGGTCACCTGCCTGGGCTGGGCGGCGCGACGTGAGGAGACCACAGGGCTCGGCTGCACGAACGGAGACTTGTGGCACCAGCTGGGCGAGGCGATCCGTGCGCGAGGAGGTGACCGCAACGACATCAGCGTGCACCACCTCAACAGCCACATGACTGAGCAGGAGGCCAGCGCGAAGGGCATCACGAGGCGCATCTGGGCAGGCAACCAGGCAGCCGACCAGTACGCAGACGCAGGCGCCAAGACCCACGCGATCAGCGACACCGAGATGAGCTGCTACGAGTGGGTGAGAGCGACGGCGCACCTGGTGAGGCTCAGGATCGCTGCAACCACCAAGGACGTCATCACCAGAAGGCCGCCAGACGAGAAGGAGATGAGAGAGGCCCGCCGCGCTCAGGCTAAGAAGCGACGGCAGGACACCGTGCGCAAGAAGGACCTGCTGGGGGACAACCACTCGCGACGGCCACTCACACAACATGTTCTGGCACGAGACCGTCGAGGCACAGGCTGGACGTGCATGAGCTGCTGGCAGTCAGTCTCCAGTGCGACGACGGCGCAGAACATCCACAGCTGGCTGACGCAGGAGTGCAGTGGCCCACCGCCCGAGACGGCGATCACGGTCACCAAGTTCGGCGTCGAGTCGCACCCCACGCACAAGCTGAGGCGGCTGAGGAGGCACAACAGGTGGTTCTGCGAGAAGTGCGGAGGCGCCACCACTGAGCTGATCGCCAAGAAGCTGCAGGAGCCTTGCTGCGGACACACGGCATGCGACAGCGGACACTACAGGCTACAGGGGTGGCTGAGGCAAGCGGCGCGAGAGCAAGGCACCTGCGACAGGCCTCGCGCACTGAGCGACCCTGAGGACGAGGAGGACGAGGAGCAGCTTGCAGAGGCCAGCAGTAGCCAGAGCACGGAGGTCGACACGGCAGGGGGCACAAGTGGTGTTTCCTGGCGAAACAAACGGGAAGAGCCACCCTGCCGTCTGCGGGAGAAGTGCCGAGGCTACACTGCGGGCGCGCTGGAGGCGACGAGGAGAGCTACGACGCCTGCGGAGCCTAGCAGCCTGCCCGCCCCTCCAGCTGCAGGAGCAGACCGAGGGCCCGCGACGCGGGACAGGGCACGTCGGGCCGCGGCGGCCAGAGCGAAAGCGCGCTGCGAGGCAGCAGGCGCGCGGCCCGACGGCGGAGACAGAGGAGAGCAGAGGACACGGAGATCAGAAAGCGAAAGACGAAGAGCTGAGGAGCCGATTGTGAGACGCCTGCTGGACGCGACCGCCGCCACACCAGCACCGACGCCGACACCGACGACAGCACCACCAGCAGCAGCAGACCAACGTGACGAAGCTGAGGCCGCACGCCGTGCCGCCTCGCGAGCGCTGCTGGAGGAGGAGAGGCGGCGCGCGGCGCGCCCGCCGCCAGAGGCGAGAGGGGCCCGCGCGGCGAGCGCCGCCCCGCCGCTGCCGCTGGGCGCGCTGCGCCGGCTGCTGGACGAGGGCGAGCGGCCCGCGGGGCGGGTGAGGACCACGCGTGGCGGAGCTGTTGGCAGAAGATGTGGTCTCCCCGCCCCGCGGAGAGAGGGCGGGGCTGCGGAGCCGCCCGCAGGCCCCTCGGTTGCTCGGCACGTCCCCCTGATGCCGAGGACCGAGGCGGCCTGAGAGGCGCCGAGAGCGGCGCCCCCGCGCGCGCGCGCCGACAGCGCCGCGCGGGTTGCCACGACGTGGCGGCTCGAAAGAGCTCGGAAAGAGCTCCCTCCTCCTCCTCCTCCTCCTCCTCCTCCCTCCTCCCTCCTCCTCCTCCTCCTCCTCCTCCTCCTCCTCCTCCTCCTCCTCCTCCTCCTCCTCAAGAAGGTCCCGACCTTTTCCCCGGGGGGCAGTTTTTCGCACGGGGCCCTTTTTTGATGGCATCTGGGGCTCGATGACAGGCCCCGGAGGCCAGAATCGAAGGGAAACGCTAATTCTGGAAAAGTCATGCCGGCGGAGGCGACGGCGGGGGCGAAGCGGGTCTTACGCGCATTCGCCAGGGAGCCTCGCCGAAGACATAGACCTTCGGGGCCCGTGCACAGATGTGGATCGTTCCCGAAATGGCGTCGGTTGCGAGGGTCGAAGGAGTTGGCAGATCTTTCCCGGCGGAAGGCGGAGGAAGGTCGGGGGAAGATTGCGGGAAGCAAACACAAGGGCGCCTCCGCCGGCGAAATGCCGGCGGCAAGTTTTTTGTTTTGTTTAGGAGTTTCGGAACCCGCCGTGTCTTGCTCTCCTCTGGGCCATTCGCCCCCCTCGTCTCCCCCCCAGACATGCGACGTTTTGATTTTTTCAGGACGGCGTCCTGGAAGTCCCGACCCTTTCCCCGGGACCGGTTTTTCGTCCTGAGTCGTTGTTTGACGGCCCCGAGGCCCGGCGAGGGTCTCCTTGGGCCGAAAATTGCCAAAAACCGCGGTCCTGATTTCTTACGACGCGAGCATGTCTGGGCTCTCCTCTGCGCCGCCATTCCGCCCCCATCCTCCTCCTCCTCCTCCTCCTCTCCTCCTCCTCCTCCTCCTCCTCCTCCTCCTCCTCCTCCTCTCCTCCTCCTCCTCCTCCTCCCCCCGCCCCGCCCCCCCTGCAGGTCGTGGCGGCTCCGCCCCCCGGGCCGCCTGCCGGCCGTGCTGGCCGCGCGCGCGGAGGGGAGGGGGGGGCGGAGGGCAGAGCCGTGCTGTCGGAAGGCGTGGGGAGGGGGGAGGAGGAGGAGGAGGAGAGAGGAGGAGGAGAGGAGGAGGAGGAGGAGGAGGAGGAGGAGGAGGAGGAGGAGGAGGAGGAGGAGGAGGAGGAGGAGGAGGAGGAGGAGGAGGAGGAGGAGGAGGGAGGAGGAGGAGGAGAGAGGAGGAGGAGGAGGAGAGGAGGAGGGAGGAGGAGGAGGAGGAGGAGGAGGAGGAGGAGGAGGAGGAGGAGGAGGAGGAGGAGGAGGAGGAGGAGGAGGAGGAGGAGGAGGAGGAGGAGGAGGAGGAGGAGGAGGAGGAGGAAAGAAGGAGGAAGAGGAGAAACAGGACCAGGAGCAGCAGCAGCAGCAGCAGCAGCAGCAGCAGGAGGAGGAGAAGGAGCAGCAGCAGGAGGAGCAGGAGAATCGCCATCTGCGGGAAATCGCCCCCCCCCGCGCCCGGGGAGGGGCAAGGCCCCCACGGGCGGCGCTCAGGCGCGACGCCCGGCAGCGCGCGATGGCGGCAGGCAGCGATGCCCGCGGCCGTGGCGCCCGCGATGCCCAGCGGCCGCTGCGGGCCACGCCCGCTGCAGGGGGCCTCCCGTGCACCCCCTGCCCCCTGCCACAGGCCCGCGGCAACTGAGGCCGAGGCTGCGGCCGTGGCTTGGCACCAACAGGACGCCACAACCTAAGTAACCGTTCGGGACGCGCGGATGGGCAGGCAAGCCCACGCGCGCCACATGACCTACGCGAAGCTTGCGGAACAGGTTGAGAACATCAAGAAGCTACAGGACGAGATCGACGAGCGGAACAAGTGGTGGCACAAGCAGGGCAACCACAGCACGGTTCGAACTGCACCCGCAGCTCTGTCAAAGGAGGGAGGGGAGCCTGGGGCGTTTTCCGGGGCGCTGGCCAGAAGAGACTGCCAGAGGACCCGAGGGGGGAGGACCCGGCAACAGCCAGAAGAACAAAAGGGCGGGCCCAAAGGCCCCAACCAGCCTAGCCTCAACGCAGGGGCCGATGATTTCATCCCTGGTTTCGTGCGCGGCGCCACCATCCTGGACGTCTGGGAGGGCACTGGCAGCGCCGAGAAGGCCACCTGCAGCCTACAGCTCCGAGCAGGCGGAGGACGCCACCGAGGAGCCCAGGAAACTCACCCGCATCGGCGAGGAGCCCAAGGGAGCCAGCCACACCGTCGAGGACGTCACCTACATCACCGTGGGCCCAGCCTGGGGTCGAGGGAAAAGGCCGACGTCACGAAGGCGAGGGCTAGCTGGAGGCCCATCACGAGGCCGCACGGATCGCGGCCGTCGCCTTCATTGACGCGGACGGTGAGCACCTAGATTTCAATATGGGAGATGACCGAACGACCCGCTTCGTCAACGGCGAGGCGCTGAACCCCGACGTCACGGAGCTCCACATCGACTACGTGAAGCGCACTTGCACCTTCGACTGGTACGGCGGCCCGCCCAAGCCGCCTTCGAGCACGGCCTGCGCAACCTCTTCGCCCCGCACAGCCTGCCACGAGAGCGACCACGGCGCCCTCGCCTTCGCCGCCACGGCGATCGTCTCCTCGCTTCAGGAGGTAAAAAGCACACAGACACAATTAGTCGTCGATTCCCGAGAAAGTATGGGAAACTATGGGAAGTGGGGGGGAACACAAAAACCCAGAAACGTTGGGAAAAGATTGGGGATCCTGTTAATTATTTGTGTGTATTTATTTGTGTGTCCCAGGGCCCCTTCACCGTCGATGGTGAGCGCGCCGCCCTCCCACAGGGTGGGGGGGGGGCCTGGCGGCCCTCGGGCGGGGCGAGCGGGGCCCGCGGCCGCAGCGTCCCCCTCTGAGAAGGTGAGGGCAGCGGGGCAGCCCCCGCCCCGCGGGCCCAACGCCCCCCAGGGGCGCGGAGGAGGGGGAGGAGGGGGAGGCGGAGGCGGAGGCGGAGGAGGAGGGGGAGGAGGAGGAGGCGGAGGAGGAGGAGGAGGAGGAGCAAGAGGAGGAGGAAGAGGAGGAAACGGAGGAGGAGGAGGAGGAGGAGGAGGAAACGGAAGGAGGAGGAGAGGAGGAGGAGGGAGGAGGAGGAGGAGGAGGAGGAGACCCCCGGCGCGCAGCGCGCCCGACACTGGGGGCAACCCCGCGCGCGGAAAGGCCCACTCTGCCCCCTTCCCCCCTCCCCTCTCTCCCCCCCCCGCCGTCATCGGCCCCGCTCTTCCCCCTCCCCCCTCCCTCCTCCAGGGGGCTCCCTCGGCCTTTCTGCGACTTGGGGGGGGGCCCGTCCTTCCCGTCTTCCCCCCCCCTCCGCCTCCCTTGTTCGCGCCTGGGCGCGGGCCCCTCTCGTCCTCCCCCCCCTTTCCGCCCTTCGCCTCCCTGCCCTCGTCTTCCCCCCCGCGCCACCGGGCGCCGCAGCGCCTACGGGTACGCTCGATTCTTCGGCCCCCCCCTCGGGGGCAACGGCCCCCGGGGGAGGGGGGGGCGCCGCGTTCGATGGCCCCCCCGGGAGGAGGAGGAGGAGGAGGAGGAGGAGGAGGAGGAGGAGGAGGAGGAGAGGAGGAGGAGGAGGAGGAGGAGGACGACGACGACGACGACGACGACGACGACCAGGGGCGGATGTCAGGGTCCCGTCCTGAGTCCGCGGACGCATCGTCAGGGAGATGCGGCCCCCTCCATATACGGGAGGCCTCGAGCGGCCAGGGGCGCAGGGGAGAGGGGGGGGGAATCGGCGGGGAGGCGAACCCTCCACGCCGCCCTCAGCTCTGATGATGCTGGGGGGCCCCTCGCCTGCGGCGCCCGTCGTCCCGCCGCACCGGGCCTGCTGGCCGCACGCGGCCAGGAACTCAGCAGGCTCTTCGCGCGTCGCGCCGCCGGCTTCTGGCCCCCCACGCTGCCCAGACCCCCGACGTCGTGATTTCTTCATGGCGCGACCCCCACAGACCTCCTCGAGTCATGAAAAAATCACGACGGGAGGTTTTTCGCTGTTTTCGGCCTCTGAGGGCCCTTACCGGACCTCGGGACCTTCAAAAAACGACTCGGGATGAAAAACCGGTCCAGGGGAATGGGTCCAGACCTCTGGGGGTCGCGTCATGAAAAAAACATGACGTCGGGGGTCTGGGCCCAGAGGTCCAGACCCATTTCCCCGGGGCCGGTTCTTCATCCCGAGTCGTTTTTTGGCGGCCCCGAGGCCCGGTAAGGTAAGGGTCCTCAGAGGCCGAAGATAGCGAAGAGCCTCCCGTCGTGATGTTTTCATGACGCGAGGAGGTCTGGGTTCGGCGCGGCACGCCTCCCACGCCCCGAGCCCCCGAGCGTCGACGCCCCGAGCCTTCACCGAGCCTCCCGCCCCGCGGGGCAGAGCCACGCGCCACCCACTCGCAGACCTGAGCGCGTCGCCGGGGCCGCCGCCGCGGCACGCTGAGCAACAGTTCATGGCCGTCGGGCAGAGGAGGTGGCCAAAAGGGTCCAGGCCACGAAGAGACGCGACCGCACGCCCTCGACGTCTTGCACGCCTCCTCTGCTGCTCCTCCGGCAAGCCCAGGCCCGCTCGGTGGATGCCCGCGTGTCCCACCCGGGCCGGTTCCTGTTTGCTCCTGGAGGCTTTGGAGATGGAGTGTGCGGTCGGGAACTTACCTAGCGTGCGGCGCCGCCGGATCTGGCCCACTGCGCTTCGGCGCGACATGCTATGAATTTCCTAGCCGCCAAGCGTCAACGTCCCGAGCTTGCCAGGGCATCCCGCCCCGCGGAGCGGAGCGACGCGCTATGCGCTCGCAAGCACAGCGTGCCACCAGGGCTGCCGCCGCGTCACGCTGAGCAGAGGTTCCCAACCGAAGTTGTTGTCTTCCCGCTGGTGCAACGCCGCCTCCTCCTCCTCCTCCTCCTCCTCCTCCTCCTCCTCCTCCTCCTCCCTCCTCCTCCTCCTCCTCCTCCTCCTCCTCCTCCTCCTCCTCCTCCTCCTCCTCCTCCTCCTCCTCCTCCTCCTCCTCCTCCCCTCCTCCTCCTCCTCTCCTCCTCCCTCCTCCTCCTCCTCCTCCTCCTCTCCTCCTCCTCCTCCTCCTCCTCCCTCCCTCCTCCTCCTCCTCCTCCTCCTCCTCCTCCTCCTCCTCCTCCTCCTCCTCCTCCTCCTTCTCCTCACGCCTCGAACTTCCAACCTTTCCGAACGCTCTTCTTTCCAAATTCTCCGGGAGGCGGAGGAAGGGCGGTTCAAGGCTGGCCCTGGTAACCGGTTTGGGTCGGCTCGTCACCTGTCGTGCGTCTTGCTGCGGGAGGAGCGCATGTAATCCACATGCGTGCGCGAGTGAGCTGCGTCTGTGTGCGCACAACGACAGCGTGGAACACGTGTAATAGGTGGTGACATGTGTGTTATTCAACGCGTCCTTGCGCATGCCACTCACATCCACACCTATGAAGTGTGGTGCCGCGTTAGTGTCATATGCCTGCCGAACATCGCTGACTTTATCCTATGATGCCTCGTCGTCGTCCAGAGTGTTGTGACATGCCACCAGCAGCTCTTGCAAGAGAGGAGGGAGGCGGCAAGGGGTTCGTGATTCCTCCTCAGAGGATGGAGAGGTGTCCAGCATCTTCCATCCCATCCCGCCTGGAGGGCGGATATTGGTGTTCATACGCTTACCTTTCGATGGACGGATAGGGCGGCCTTATCCTCAACTTCCAGGGCGTTTTAGCGGTATCTTGCACACTCAAGATGCCCTCGTCGTCATCATCGGTATCCTCTTCCGCCTCGAGCCCCTTTGGGTTATCCTCCTGGCGTAACCGGCGTCACCCAGGGGTGGGCGGAAGGGCCTGGTGACGCAACATATTGCGCCCTCGGGGTCTGTTTCTTAGCTGCCTGGAGGTACCCGCCAGCCCCAGACCTTCTGTCACCAGCGGGAGGGGGAGAGCGGGATAGTGCGCAGAAGAAGCAGTTGGATGATGATAAACCGTCGGAGATCCACGCTGATGTCTTGGGTCGGCACCAGGCCCCCCTCCCTGTCCAGCGCCGATCTGAGAAGTCCGAGTGTTGATGCTTACGGCGTTTACGTACCCAGACATGATGGCGTCGTAAAAAAATCAGGACGGGAGGTTTTTGGCAATTTTCGGCCCCAGGGGGCCCTCACCGGGCCTCGGGACCGTCAAAAAACGACGGGCCTGGTGGCTCACCCCTGCCAGGAACCCGCGGTTTCGCGATCGGGGCCTATCGCCGATGTATCGGCGATGCGTCGCCGATTCGAGCTCGGTGTTCCCCCGCTGAGCCAGTCACCCTCAATCGTGTACCCTCAGAGGGGGGGTGCAGGGTACAGGGCCCAGTGTCGGTGGAAAGGACGGTGACATCACCTCCACAGGGGATGTCACCTCCGGCGAGGAGGTCCAGCATGCCTCCCCGCGCTGGAGACAGGGGATGTCTCGAGCTGGGTGAGGGCCCTCCTGGTTCCTCGCGCTGGTGGTGGTGCCGCTCTTCCTTCTTCCTAAGTTGACGGCCCCATAACTCAGACCCTGAGATCCGACGTTGCGAAAAAATCGCAACATCGCAAAAAACATGCCCGGAGCCCTGGACCTCATCGTTCTGAGTAATTTTTCGAGCCGGATCGACCCGTGCGGGTCCTGGGGCCCGAAACGGGACGAAACCGCCCGTTGTGAAAGAGATGCAACGCCAGGATCTCAGGGGACGTCGTGATTTTTGCTCCACGGCGTGGGCCCCCAGAGGCCTGGACCCCTTCCCCCGGGACGAGCTCCTCGTCGCGGGGGCCGTTCCTGGACGGTCCCAGGGGCCCGGCGAGGGCCTCTCGGGAGGCCGGCAAGCGGGCAAGAGACAAGAGACCACTCCCGCCGCGCTCTTCTGCCACGGCGGCGAGGGGAGGCGGGGCGTGACACGGCCCGTGGCTCCAAGAGGGGGTCCCTTGAGGGGCGGGGTCCGAAGGACGAGGTGCCTCAAACGGCGCAGAGGCCCCAGACATGCGACGTCCTGGTTTTTTCAGGACGGCGTCCCCGCAAGTCCCGGCCCTTTCCCCAGGACCAGGTTTTTCGTCCTGAGTCGTTTTTTGACAGTCCCGGGGCCCGGGGCCCAGCGAGGGCCCCCCCGGGGCCGAAAATAGCGAAAAACCTCCCGTCCTGATTCTTGTACGACGCGATCATGTCTGTGGCACCCTTGGATCCCTTCCCATCCTCAGGACCCCATCCCTCGGGCCCCCCTCCTGGAGCCAGGAGCGAGGAGGAGCGAGGAGGAGGAGCGAGGAGGAGCGAGGGGGAGGAGCGAGGAGGAGCGAGGAGCGAGGAGGAGGAGCGAGGAGGAGCGAGGAGCGAGGAGGAGCAAGGAGCGAGGAGCGAGGAGCGAGGAGGAGCGAGGAGGAGCGAGGAGGAGCGAGGAGGAGCGAGGAGGAGGAGGAGGAGGAGGAGGAGGAGGAGGAGCGAGGAGGAGGAGCGAGGAGCGAGGAGGAGCGAGGAGCGAGGAGGCGGGGAAGGTGCCCCGAGCGCG